AGGTGAGCCGGGGTCGGGGGTGGGCCTCGGTGGGGCGCGCGTGCGCGGAGGTGAGCGGGCCGGGGGGCCGCAGGGGTCCCGGCGAGGGGCGGGGCGGGGCGGGGCGGGGGCGTCCGGCGGCTGCCCCCGAGACGAGAGACCCGGGGGTCCCGGCAGCCGTGACGCCCCAAGGGGGAGGGACCGATCGCTCGGCGGGTTGAACCTCTCTGGTTCGCGGCTGGACAAGTGGAGCGTGTCGTGCGCGGGTCCGCGGGCGGCGGTGTCGACAGGGACCCCGGGGACTCCACGGCCTCCTCCGCGCCCTCGGTGCTGGGCGAGGGGAGCCGTCTTGTCCCGTTGTGGGGAGGAAACCGAGGCACGGGGTGGGGACCCATGCCTCTCGCGTCAGGGCGGAGCTGGACTGCCACCCTGGCCTGGGGAGCAGCGGCTCCGATCCACTTCCCTGAAAGCGAGGTCACAGGGTCTCCCGGCCAGCAGCGCACTTGACCTCCCTGACCTTCAGTGTTTCCCCATTTGCCTAAACTGCCAGGCCCTCCGGCCGACTGCTCTTCTTGTCAGTGGAGTGGAAACAGCGCGCGCGGCCGGGGGCGGGCCCCTCTGTGTCCCGGGTCGCCCCCGCGCTTCTGAACTCAGGGTGGGGAGGCCCGTGGGCCCGGCCTGTCAGCTCCGGTCCCTACATCACCGTGATCACGAGGTGTCATGTGTTCCTGGATGGGCAGGTGCAGCCGGGACGCTGTACAATACAAAAATAAGTATTTAGTTTTTGTCCCCGGTCCGTGGCACACAGACCCTGGGAATCTTGGCAGGGGCGGTGTGTTTTCTGTGCTAATAAAGTGACTGGTGGCTGGGGCCTCTGGACAGCTTCGGGGTCGGGCCTGGTCCCCAGAAGCACCCAGGCTGGGAACTCCCAGCCCCACCTCCCCTCCCCGAACCCCAGGAGCACTGAGGGGCTGGTGATTGACAATCGCCAAGGGCCAAAGATTTGAGTAATCGTTTCTGTGTAATGAAACCAAAACTCGGGGTTGAGAGAGCCTCTGAGCCGGTGAACACACTTTGGTGCTGGAGGGCGGGGACGCCCCATCCCGCGTCCTCTGGCTACATCCTTTATAATAAACGGGCCGCGGTAAGCCAAGCTCTTCCCTAAGTGCTGTGAGTGGTTCTAGCCAATTCCCAGCCCCAGGTGGGGGAGGGGTGAACCCTTGAGTTGATTGCCAGTTATTCAGACGTGGGGCTTGCGACTGGGGTCGGAAGGGGGACGGGCCTGCGGGGCTGAGGCCTTACCTGTGGGGTCCGCGCTGGCTCCAGGAATTCGGGCCAGAGTCGGAACGAATCCTGGGGAGACCCAGCTGGTGTCGAGGATTGGTTGGCGTGAGAAAGAACCCCCGCACACATTTGCTTCAAAGGTGCCGTGAATTAAAGCTGTGGCCCGCTGTGGCCGGAATGTCCCAGGGGACCTGTCTGTGGCTGTGACAGGCTCAGACTCCCCGGTGCGCGACGTGACTCCTTCCCAACCCTTGCGCGTTCCTGGCGGCCTGAGGGTGCGTGCATCTCACGAGCCTCCACCACACGGAGCTGGCATGCGTGGCCCCATCTGCTCCGCGGCCACGCTGCTTTCCGGCCCACAGCACGAGGGCAGGCTGCTCAGGGAGGCCTGGACACCCCTGCTGGCCAGCTTCGGCTCAGGTCCCCCACCCGCAACCCCAGCCCCTTGGCCTTGTGGAACCTTCCCTAGCCTGCACGGCAGTCCGGGATGCTTGGACCCTCGGCCCCTCCCCGGGCCTGACTCCCAAGAGGTCAGACTGGGTGCGGAGTGACCCTCCGGGCCGCCCCTGGCAGCCTCCGCGGTTTCTCTCCGACAGAAAGGACGCCCCTCGTGAAATCCTTGCACGTTCGGTCCCACGCTGATGTCTCACTCCTCGGAGGAGCCGGCCAACAACGTTCCTTATGAGAATTTAGAACGTACACATAAGCCGAGCGCAGGTAGTGACAGTCCTATCTCCAGAGGAGCCAGATGCTCCACACGTAACCGCAGGGGCGGGGAGGGCGCTGCCACCTGCCAAGGCCAGCCCTTGAGTGTCGCCCTCAGCTGCAGTGCCCGAGACCGCTTACCGGGCTGGAGCCGCCTCCCGGTCGGCAGAGGAGGAACAGAGGGACGGTGGCGGGTCCCCCTGAGGACGCGCCCACTTCTAGCGCATCTGCCAGAATTTAGCAGCTCGGCCACAGTCCGTGCACAAGCAGAGTTTACTCTCTGCGCCATGTTGTAACTTCTTGTTCCGTGCGTCAGTTTACCGCCCAGGTCTTTGTGTGTCATTAAGCCTTTTTTTTTTTTTTTTAATGTTTATTTATTTATTTTGAGAGAGAGAGAGAGAGAGAGAGAGAGAGAGAGAGAGAGAGAGAGAGAGACTGAGCAGGGGAGGGGCAGAGAAAGAGGGAGTGAGAGAATCCTAAGCACGTTCCAGGCTCTCAGCAGGGCTCGAGCCTGACGCAGGGCTCGAACTCATGAACCGTGAGATCATGACGTGAGGCAAAACAGCGCAACCCACTGAGCCACCCAGGTGCCCCTCGTTAAACCGTTTTCTCGTACATCTTCAGTGCGTTTCACGGTACAGGGTATTCTGCAATCCCCTCATCGGGGCTTTTCTCTGCTTTTCCAGTTCCCTCCCTTGCCGTCTTTCCAAACAGTGCCAGGAGCTTGTCTACCCTCGCCCGCCCCGTTTTCTCCACACACCTCACCCTGTGCGCTGCTGGGCCAGCCGTGGGTCCACGTCTGGAAATTGGCGTGAGTCCCCTGAGGCCCCCTCCCTCCGCCTTCCCTGCTGAGCCCGGCCCTTCTCTCAGCAGGGCCTCCAGGACCCAACCCGCTGCCTGCAGGTGCCACCGACCATGGACGCGAGGTGGCCGCTGTGCTGCCGCCCCCTGCTGGGGGCCTACATCCTCGTGTCCCTGGCCACCGCCGCCCTCCTGGGGCACGTCCTGCTCCATGATTTCTCGCTGGTCCCCCAAGAGCAGCGTGGCTTCTCCCAAGTGGCTGAGGGGCTTTATCGAGCTCGCCAGCAGGGAGCCGGCCACCCAGGCCCCCAGGCCCCCCCAGGCCACCACGGCAGTCCCAGAGCAGCTCCCACACGGTGCGACGTGCCCCCCAACAGCCGCTTCGACTGCGCCCCGGACAAGGCCATCACCCAGGAGCAGTGTGAGGCCCGGGGCTGCTGCTACGTGCCTGCTGGGCAGTGGCCTCGGGTCCCCCGCATGGGACAGCCCTGGTGCTTCTTCCCACCCAGCTACCCGAGTTACAAGCTGCACAACCTGACCACCACGGAGACAGGCTACACGGCCACCCTGACCCGCGCCACCCCAACCTTCTTCCCCAAGGACATCTTGACCTTACGCCTGGACGTGCTGCTGGAGACTGAGAGTCGACTCCACTTCACGGTGGGCGGGGCCCCACGGGGCAGAGAAAACGTGGGTGGGCTCCGGGCGAAGATGAATGGATCTGCCGGGCGTGTGTTTAGGGGGCAGATGCGTTTTGTGCCTTCACGGGGAGTCCCGGCGTGAGCAGACAGTGCCTACGCTCAGGGAGCAGCGGCCACTAAGACAGCAATTGGAAGGTTCTAGAACATGCTCTAGAGGGCAGGGCTCAGGGCACAGTGGAGGGAAGTTGGGTCTCCCCCAGGAAGTGACATCCCACCTGGGACCTGAAGTCCTGCAAGGGTCCGCAAGGGGAAAGGTGGAGAGGGAAGAAGGGGAATGTTCCGGGCAGTGGGCGGTGGGATCTGATGATCGTCTGCCCCCTGAGGGCAGGACCTTTTGTCTGATTTATTCCCTGCTGACTCCCAGTGCCTGGAACAGTGTCTGGCACATAGCAGGTGCCCAGCAGAAACCTGAGGACTGAATGGACATGTGGAGGCCAAGCTGAGACAGCCTGAAACAATTCATAATTAGCAAAGTAATTTATAACAGCCAACATTTACCCAGTGATTACTACTGTGCGCCGAACAGAGTGGAGCTGGACGCCCTCAATTCTATTCTCACCCACCCTGTGACGGGCGTGTGGGGTGCCAGCTTCAGCAAATAAAAATACAGGATGCCAGGAAATCTGAATTCCAGAAAACCGAGCAATGAGTTTATTTTTTCAGTGTGTGTCTCATGCACTATTTGAGACGTACTAAAAAAAACCTTCAGACTGTGCGTTCTGTGTTTTGCCTGGCGACCCACGTGAGGCGTTCCCCCGGCTTCTGTAGATGACCAAACTGCCCACGCTCACCTGCTGTGCACGGCCACACTGGGTTTGGCATTGGGTCCCCGCTCTCCTGGAGGGTGAGGAAGGCGGGGAAGGTGTGCAGGGGAGGCCCCCGGCCCGCAGAGGGCCTCACGGCACACCATCTGACTTCTAGATCAAAGATCCCGCCAACAGGCGCTACGAGGTGCCCTTGGAGACCCCGCGTGTCCGCAGCCGGGCCTCATCCACACTTTACAGCGTGGACCTCCAGGAGGAGCCCTTCGGGGTGGTCGTGCGCCGGAAGCTGGACGGCCGGGTGCTGTGAGTGTGGTCTCTGTGCCCCCAGGGAGTGCCAGCTGGGGGCGGTCTCCTCCAGGGGGCATCTGGCAGGGACTCCACCATATACAGCGATCCTGCCCAAATGTCACAAGTGCAGAGGCTGAGAAAGCTCGGTGGGTCGGGTGTGAAATGACACCTCTCCCCCCGGGGAGCATCTCCTCGGACCTGCTTTCTTTACGTTCTGTTATTTACGATCAGATGCTGTGTATCACTCACGACAGGGCAGGCGCAGTAACTGTGAACCCCGCCAATCCCAACAACACAGAAGTAGGTGCCGTTACGGCCCCCGCTTTATGGATGGGGAAACTGAGGCACAGGGAGGTGAGGTGGCTTGCTGGCAGGCGACGGAGCCAGGGCCCCAGCTTCCATGCTGTTGGCCGCTGTCTGTTTCTAGTCCCTCCGGGGCTCGTGTCCCCCTGAGATCTTAGGTTTGTCTGAATCGTTGCTGTGGTCTGTCCGCCATGGAGCCGTTCCCGTTCCAGAAGCTCACTCCTGGGCTTCCAGCTCCCACAGTGGTTCCAACCCACAGCAGATGCTCTCAGGCTCTGTCGGGAGAATCAGGGCATCTGGTTGGTCATGCCCTTGCCCCTGGGGGACGCGTCACGTCCACCACCCCCATCATGACCGGGGATCGGACACACCCAGGCATCTCAGAATCCACTTTTAGACTCAGGTGCCACAGCTGTGACTCCCAGAGTCCGACACCTCCCCTCGCAGAGTGGACCTGCACGGCCACAGGGCCGGGGCAGCAGACCTGCCCACGCCCCCCTGTCTGCCCTGACGGATTTAAGCACACACACTTTCACAGGACCACCACGTAAAGATGTGCCCAGAGCGGACAAGACTCCCCTTTGTCACTGAACTAGTTACGGGCTTGGGGATGAGGTAACTTGGACCTACCTTGGTCTTAAGGGAACTCCCCTTCTGAAATGCCCTTTTTTTTCTTTTCTATTCTCTTTTTTTTTTTTTTTTTTTTTTTGCCCACTCTTGGCTGTGCATTATCGACCTGCTCCCAGGGCTGACACAGTGGGAAGAAGCAGTGAACGAGTGCAAGTACAATGTCAGGAATAACAGAGCTAAGAAGGTTCTAGAAATGAGCTGTGCAGATGCAGAGGAGAGGGTTGGCTCTGTCGGGGGGAGCTACAGAAGGCCTCTCTAGGAAGCTGACCTTGGAGCAGATTTCTGAGTGAAGTTTTCTAAAGCCTGTAATCAGAGTTGGGTCTTGAAAACACATACACACACACTCGTAAGTCTTGCCCAGGGGCAGGCAGGGGGCAGTGGGAGATCTTCCCAGGAAATCAGCGATAGCATGTACTCTGTGCCCCGTTTGTGGTTCTTGCCTTGCCCTTGACCCTCTGCAACCTCAGGGCACCCTGGCCACCCCTGGGTGGATGGACAGCTCCATGGGCTCTGGAGCCGGGCTGGGCTGGGCAGGCCTTGGCCAGAGTCTGGGAGCAGCATGGCCCTTGTGGAAAGAGCTCAGGGCCACAAGTCCTAGCGCTAGCCAAGTTCCAGCCGCTCCTGTCCAGCGCCTGCCTGCGGCCAGGCCTCACGGGGCACTCCACTTCTGGATGCCCGCCTGGGGGCGGTGTGGACACAGCCAGGTAGCTGGGTGCGCTGGATGTGCTCTGAGAGCTCTCCACCCCTGGTCAGGTCCCCAGGGTCGCCGGGCCTCGCATGGCCACGTCTGCCCCGCGTCCGTGCATCACCGTGCTGACCAGGCCACTCTGGCCCTCCCCGGGGGGATACCAGGGCCCAGGGGTCTCTCTGGGAGGGCCCACCTGAGGTTCATCTGGCTGCCTGGGCATTTCCTGGCAGGCTGAACACGACGGTGGCCCCCCTGTTCTTTGCTGACCAGTTTCTGCAGCTGTCCACCTCTCTGCCGTCCCAGCACATCACGGGCCTGGCCGAGCATCTCGGCTCCCTGGTGCTTAGCACCAACTGGACCAAGATCACCCTGTGGAACCGGGACATCGCCCCCGAGGTACAAGGGGCAGTGAAGACGGGGGGAGCGGGGGAGCCATGTGGGTGAGGCTGCTAACGTGTGTGTCCACGTGCCCAGCCCAACGTGAACCTGTACGGGTCCCACCCCTTCTACCTGGTGCTGGAGGACGGCGGCCTGGCTCACGGGGTCTTCCTGCTGAACAGCAATGCCATGGGTAAGCGGGTGGGCGGCCACCCCCAGCCCGCATCCTGTCCCCGTGTCCCACGGCCAATCATCCTTCTGAGCTCCCAGGCCAGGGGCTGCCCCGGGTGTGGCCGCGTCCCCTTCCTTCACGGAGGGACCTGCCCGACAGGCTGGAGGTAGAGGACTGGGGCCATGGGGGGTTGGGGCTTGTGCGTCCCCCCAAGAAGTGACTCCAGTGGGCTGTAGCCTCTGCCAGCTCTGCCCTGAGGTGCCCCCAAGGTGGACTCTGAGGCCCCTGATCTGAGCGGAGGCCAGAGAGGGGAGTCCTGGGGTCTGGCGGCTCAGCATTTCCCTCCCCAGACAACAAGCAGGCTGTAGATTGGCGGCGTGGGGGCAGTATGGGGCGCAGGGATCTGTCCCTGAGCCCCAGGGCTGCTTCCCCCAGATGTGATCCTGCAGCCGAGCCCAGCCCTCAGCTGGCGGTCCACGGGTGGGATCCTGGACATGTACATCTTCCTGGGCCCTGAGCCCAAGAGCGTGGTGCGGCAGTACCTGGAAGTCGTGGGTAGGCTGGTCCCCCAGCCCTGTGCCGCCCCCTCGCCTCCCCCGCCCCTCCTTCCCCCCTCCCCCGCCCCTCCCGCCCCCTTCCCCTCCCCCTGCCCACGTGCTCACAGAGCTGCCCTGCCCGCAGGCTCCCCGTTCATGCCGCCCTACTGGGGCCTGGGGCTCCACCTCTGCCGCTGGGGCTACACCTCCACAGCGGTCACCCGCCAGGTGGTGGAGAACATGACCAGGGCCAACTTCCCCCTGGTGAGCGCTGGGCGGCCCGGGGCGGGTGTGCGTGTGGGGGCTGGGCCGGGACTCCGTCCCTGTGCTGTGGCCACAGGACACTCAGTGGAATGACCTGGATTACATGGACGCGAGGAGAGACTTCACTTTCGACAAGGACGGCTTCGGGGACTTACCAGCCATGGTGCAGGAGCTCCACCGGAGCGGCCGGCACTACGTGATGATCGTCGTGAGTCCCCCGCCGTCCCCGTCCCCTGCCGCGCCAGCTGTTAGGGGAGGGAGGCCCCGTGCCTCCTCCCCCAGACGGCAGCTTCCTTGTGGTGCCTGCGGGGCTCTGAGGGTCCTTGCTATCGACCGGGATATCGACCTGGGCTCTGCTGTCCTGTGATGTCCAGCTTAAGGCCTCCTGGAAGCATCGTGTGCCGCTTAGGGTCCTTTTGGCTGTAGGTTACGTGAGCGGCTTAAAGCAAGGGGTGGGGGGGTGCCCTCGGCTGACGCCCCCCCCCCCGGGACTGGGAGGGCCGGGGCGGGCTTGGACGCCCAAGAAACCAGAGCCACAGAGGCTCCGAGGGTCTCCCGGCCCCGCCTCCACTTAAGTCAGTTCTGCGTCACAGGACGGAGGGCAGGGCTCTGAGTGGCCCAGCACAAGGACACCCTCCCTGGGCCGGTGCAGCCAGGGGGGTGGGGGGGGGCAGTGCCCAGCCATGTGGCCAGAGGACATGGGGAGGGGGCACCGAGGCTGAGTGGTTGCCATAGCGGACACGCCACAGGGGAGGAAACCTGTCTGCCGAGAGGTTAAGAACCGTGCTGATGTCGGCCGTTTCCATGACCTCGGCCCCTCGGAGGGCAGCCGGCATGCGCGGCCACTCAGAGCCCGGAGGGCAGGGGCAGGCCTTCCACTCAGGAAATCGGTGTTCGTGGTAGAGCACTGGGGAGACTCTCGAACTTGCGAAGCAGAGCTCAGGCCCGCATCCAGGTGTGCCCGGCCCCGGCACGTGGGCTTGTGCACACAGGGTGTGCCGAACACACACACGCGAGGCCCTCTCCGGCCTCTGTCCTCCGTCAACGCTTCCTGGAGAGCGTTCTCCCATCTGGCCAGCAGTGGGTGCCCGGCTTTGGGGCACTCCCTCTCCTCCTGACAGGGTCCCCCACTCCCCCCAGGACCCCGCCATCAGCAGCTCCAGCCCTCCTGACAGCTACCGACCTTATGACGAGGGTCTGCGGAGGAAGGTTTTCGTCACCAATGACACTGGGCAGCCACTGATCGGGAAGGTAGGGTGGGGGCCCGGGCGCGCGGCGGGGGGAGGGGGGAGAGGGCAGAAAACAGGAGTCCCCAGCTGCTGGGGACAGGCAGGCGTTCAGGAAGAGGACGGATTTAAGAACTCATCGTGTGGTCGATGGGACGGAGCGTGTGGGGGTCACGGCTGGAGGTGACGGTGGCCCCGGACAAGGGATGCCGCCTCGAATCCTTCCACGGGGCGCGTGGAAGGGCCCAGCCCGGGCACGGGCGCCCTCCTTGTCCTCCAGCCCCCGGGGGCTTCCCAGGCCCTCCCACGGGGCGCCCGGCACAGTCCCAAACTCCCGGTTCCAGGCTGTGCCCAGAACCAACAGGAAGGGGGTCCCAGCTGCGGGGAGGCCGGGGAGGCTCCCAGGAGTGCAGTCATTTGAGACTCGGTTCTGGGGCCTGTGTCTGAAAGGGAGGTCTCAGAAGAGTCCCACGGCTCCTACCACCAATGACCCTCCCCCGCCGATAGCCCTTCACCCCCAGGCAGGTGAGCGAGGCTGGAGCTCTGGGGGGCCCGGTCTCCCCTCTGGCCTTTCCTCCAGGTGTGGCCCGGATTTACCGCCTTCCCCGACTTCACCAGCCCCGAGGCCCTTGACTGGTGGCAGGACATGGTGGTTGAGTTCCACGCCCAGGTGCCTTTCGACGGCATGTGGATCGTAAGTGTCCCGTGGGCTGTGGGACCGGCCCAGCCTCTGCCCGGGGCAGGGCGCCCACCTCCGGGGCCTGTCTTGCAGGACATGAACGAGCCATCCAACTTCGTCAAGGGCTCTGTGGACGGCTGCCCCGACAGTGACCTGGAGAACCCGCCCTACGTGCCAGGTGAGCTCCCCCTCCTGCCAGCCCTCACCCGCTGGCCGCCGGCCCCCTGGCCCCAGCTGCCTGAGGCTCAGATCAGGGCTTTTGCTTCTCTGGTTTGGGAGACTCAGAGCCGTCCTTTCTGAGGAGCCGATGGGCACGGCCACCCGGGAAAGGGGAGGGCAAGACCAGGAGGAAGGTCAGGCCGGGGAGACATGAGCCAGGCAGTGAGGACCAGCACACCTGCCACTGAGGCGTGGCCCTCTGGAGGGAAGGCATTTCGGGCTTAGGGGTGGGAACAGGGAAGGACTTGAAACGGGTCAAGAGCAGGCAGGGGGTGACGCCTGCGGTCTGCCGGCCTCTGTGTCCACCTCGTCCCCATCTGTGGCACAGAGGAGACGATACAGGGACCCACCCCGAGTTCCGAGGGCGCTCCGGGCTGGGGGTGGGGCGCACCGGCCGGCCACGGACAGGAGCGGCCTCCTTCTCTTCCAGGGGTGGTTGGCGGGACCCTGCGGGCAGCCACCATCTGTGCCTCCAGCCACCAGTTCCTCTCCACGCACTACAACCTGCACAACCTGTACGGCCTGACAGAAGCCCTTGCCTCCCACAGGTGAGGGGCCCGCTCGGCGCTGTGCGGGGCGGGGGCGTCAGAGGGAGGGCCGGCGGTGACCGCACACAGACTCCCAGAGGGAGCCGGGAGGGACGGCCGTCCTCCTCCCTGTGACGCGGCTCATCATCCAGGGTGGTCTGGTGGCTCGGACAGAGCCTCCCCTCCCTCCTCCTGGCCTCGGCCCTCGGGGCTGCTTGCTCTCGCCCTGCCGCCCTGCTGCCCCTCCGGGCGCCAGGCCACTGCTCGGTCTCCCTGCCTCGCCCAGGGCCCTGGTCAAGGCTCGGGGGACGCGCCCCTTCGTGATCTCCCGCTCGACCTTCGCGGGCCACGGCCGATACGCCGGCCACTGGACAGGGGACGTGTGGAGCAGCTGGGAGCATCTGTCGTACTCTGTGCCAGGTGAGAGCGCCTGTCAGGAGGGCGGCTCGGAGAGGGGGGCGGTGGGCCCAGACCGGAGCGCCCGGCTCGGCTCAGCTCAGGGAGATGCCACTGCCACGCCACGGGGCCCCGCCGCTGACTCACACGGGGCCCCTGTGCACCCGCGCGGGTCGGCTCACCTGTGGCGCCACGCTGGTGGGCGGCGATGGGCTTTCCAGAAGTCCCCGATTTGCCCCAGCCGCTGCCTGCAAAGCAGTCAGATCCCGTCCTCTCGTGGTGTCCCTTCCGGCGACCGCATCCTGTCTGAGCCCAGCCTGCAGGTGCCGTCCACCCCCCCACCCCCACCCCTCTGCAGAGAGGCACTTCGACTTGAGTTGTCAGGAGCTCTGATGCTGTGACACGCGTTAGGCAGACAGGGCTCGGGAGCTCTGGGGAAGGGGATGGGGTGGCCTCCCAGGGTCACCACGTGGGCAGCTGAGGGGAGCCTCCACCTGCAGCCTGCAAGCCTGCTGATAGCCCTTTCGGCAGTGGCAGGACCACGCGCAGACCCTCGGGCCGTGGGGAAGCGCTGGTGGGCGAGCTCTGGGGCAGGAGTCCATTCCTCCTTCCGGAAGCCGCTCTGCCACAGGTGCCGCGGGCTCTGACCTTGCCCTAGGGCAGGTGCGCCCGCCAGCGCAGCAGGCCTGTCTCTGAAGTCCCCTCGAGCGGCAGGTCCCTGGGCGACCCTCGGTGCGCGCCGATCATGACCGGCAGAGGTCATGCGGGCCCCTGACCTGCTGCAGCCCAGACAGGTGTCTCCCACGGCCTCGGGCTGGGTCCGATCCTGCCCATCGGCTCCTGGCCGCCCAGGAGACACTGAGGAGAGGGACGGCCCGGCGCAGCCTGGCCCTGCTGAACAGTGGTAGGGTGGGCCCTGGCCGACGTGGCCTGGAACCCACGCGACCCTTCAGCAGCCGTGGGGGCTCACCGTGCCCGCCGGAGCACAGCACCCCACGCTGGCGTGGAAGGCAGCGGTCCTGGAGGCTAGCGGTCTGAATGACGGTGTCGGAGGGGCCGTGCTTGGAGCCCCGGGGCGACTCCTTCCCGCCTCCCCCAGCTTCTGGGGGTTGCCCGCTGTCCTCGTGTCCTTGGCTCGGGGCTGCGTCACTGGTCTCTGCCCGTGTGTTCGCTCGGCCCTCCCCCCGTGTGTGTCATCAGTCTGGGTTTTCCTCTTACGTGGTCACCAGGCCTACTGGATCAGGACCCGCTCTGTGACCTCACCTTAACCGTGTCTGCAGACACCCTCTTTTTTTTTTAATGTTTGTTTATTTTTGAGAGAGACAGAGCATGAGTGGGGGAGGGGCAGAGAAAGAGGGAGACACAGAATCCGAAGCGGGCTCCAGGCTCTGAGCTGTCAGCACAGAGCCCGACGCGGGGCTCAAACTCACGACCTGTGAGATCATGACCTGAGCCAAAGTCAGACGCTTAACCGACAGAAGGTGCCCCTGCATACACCCTTTCCAAATAACGTCACATCACAAGTACAAAGGGTTAGGACTCCCACATACTTTTTAGGGGGCGGGGGGGGCACAATTCAACCCTGAGGAGCTGCTTTGCTCGGCTGACCCAGGTGTCAGGAAGCAGTCCGCAAGGCAGGCTCTGGGGACCGCCAGTGGGAGACACCAGGGCCAGCGCGGTACTGACCGCCGGGCCGGGGCCGGTGGCTACAACGTCTGCTCCCCAGAGGGGCGGGCGGTCCACGGCCCAGGTGGACCTACTCCGGCAGCCTGAGCCCCAGCCTGACCCCGCCCTCCCAGAAATCCTGCTCTTCAACCTGCTGGGGGTGCCGCTGGTCGGGGCCGATGTGTGCGGCTTCCTGGGCAACACGTCGGAGGAGCTGTGTGTCCGCTGGACCCAGCTGGGGGCCTTCTACCCGTTCATGCGGAACCACAACGACCTCCACAGCCTGGTAGGGGCGCGGGCCGGGTGGGTGGGGGTCTGCGCCCGGGGTCCCGCTGTGGAGGCGGCCGCACCGGCAGTGAGAGCGGAGCCGGTCTCCCGCCGCAGCGGGGAGGGCGGCAGTGACCTCGCGGTGCTCCCGCGGCCCCTCTGCAGCCTCAGGAGCCGTACAGGTTCAGCGAGACGGCGCAGCGAGCCATGAGGAAGGCCCTCGCCCTGCGCTACAGGCTGCTGCCCCACCTGTACACGCTGTTCCACCGGGCCCACGTGGGGGGCGAGACCGTGGCCCGGCCCCTCTTCCTGGAGTGAGTGCCCGGGTCGGGGAGCGAGGGCCCAGGGGCAGACCCGTCCTGCCGCAGGGGGCGTCCCGGGGCCTCCCTGCTGGGGTGGGGTGGGGGTGGGGGGGCCCTGTGCACGCCGCTCCCTCCCCCCACGAGAGTGCAGCTCAGGGCTGGGGGCCTTCCGGGCAGAACCCCCAGTCCAGACCAGGCCAACCGGGTAAACAAGGTACAAAACCATCCCGATCGAATGAAGGAGACCCAACTGATATCCCCCAAGTGGGACTCAGATACGTAAAAAGGTGGCATGCAGTTGATTAAATGCCACCTGTAGTCCGTGGACTAAACGAGTCCCAGGTAGTAAAAGTCTGTTCCTTGTTGGCAAAGACCATCTTCTCCCCTCTCGCTACAAGCGTAAATTTCGGATGGATTACAGGCTTAAGTGTCAAAAACGAAGCTATAGAAAGTTCCACAGGAAAACAGGTGCTCCCGCAGGAGAGGGCTCTGAAAGCATCAAAGGGAAAAGGCAAGGGGGGTTGGGTTTAACAGAGGGAAACAGAGGCAACGCTCCCGTGGACAGAAACAGAGAACGTCAGCACGTGCCCCGCTGTGGAATCGCGGAGCAGGTCAGACAAGATGCCAATCTTCTCACGTAAAGAAAAGAGAAAAAAAAAAGTTTGCCGGAAAGGCCGGCAGGGGACAGGGTTACTCACTCCCCTCACCGCCCTCCCCCCCACCCCCTGCCAAGCTCGGGCGGCGGGAACCGGCTCCCGGGGCTTCCGCGAGGCCCCTTGAACACGCCGACCTCAGAGGTCACCAGGCCCATGAGCCCACCCCTCCCGTGCGAAGGTTCCCCGAGGACCCCCGCACCTGGGCCGTGGACCGCCAGCTCCTGTGGGGAGCAGCTCTGCTCATCACCCCGGTGCTCGAGGCCGGGAAGGTTGAAGTGACCGGTTACTTCCCCGCTGGCACATGGTACGACTTGCAGACGGTGAGTCCTGCGGGCCCTCGAGGGGTCCCTCCCTCCTGCCACGTGTGGGCCACGTGGGGAAGGGAGCTCGCTTGTGGCCCTTGCGTGGGGCTCCACGTGGCTCTTCCCACGCGGTCCTTGCAGTGACCCATTTTCCAGATGAGGAAACTGAGGCCCAAGTGGGTAGCTCCCCAGGACTCCAATTCTCCCAAAGTCCTGCTGCGCCCCAAGCCCTGGGTCAGGGCCTCTGTCCCAACGACTTGCCTGGGCTGGGCCTGCGGGGCCCCGCGCGGAGCCTGAGGCTCCCACTCCTGGTGACGTGACGCCGCCCTCCAGGTGCCAGCAGAGGCCCTCGGCAGCCTCCCGCCTCCGCCTCCCGCACCCGTCACGCCTGCCATCCACAGCAGGGGACAGTGGGTGACACTGCCAGCCCCACTGGACACCATCAACCTCCACCTCCGGGCCGGGCACATCATCCCCCTGCAGGTACCCGGGCCAGCCACCTGAGCCTGTCTGTCCAGTAGAGGGTCCGTCCCCAAAGCCCCGGGCAGAGACGACAGCGTGTGAGGGTTGAGGATGCACAGATCCGCGGCCGTGCCAGGCAGAGGGGCACCTGCTCCGTTGGCTCTTTTTAGGAAACGGTCTGCAAACGTGCGTGGGCCTCTCACGTCCTCCAGGGCGTCTGCCTCGGCCGGAGTGCTCGCCACGGGTGTCCGAGCCCCTCGGCCGTGGCCTGTCCTCTGGGTCCCGGCTTCCTGCAGCACGGAGCCATCCCAGCCCAGTGTCCTTCCTGTCCCCGCTGTGGAGGCCTCCACCAGGCTTGAGATGGTGACAGGTGCCACCCGCTTTTCCAGGGCCTTGGCCTCACAACCACGGAGTCCCGAAAGCAGCCCATGGCCCTGGTCGCAGCCCTGACCACGAACGGGGAGGCCCGAGGAGAGCTGTTCTGGGACGACGGGGAGAGCCTGGAGACGCTCGAGCGTGGGGCCTACACACAGGTCGTCTTCCTTGCCAAGAATGTGAGTGTCGGGACCCGCCCGGGCTGGGGGGTCGCCGGGGCCCCCTGTCCCTGTCCCAGCCAAGTGAAGCGAGCAGGGCCCGGGCGCTGGCCGCCCTGACTGCGGTCCCCATGCACCTGCCGGCGTCCGGGCGTGCGCGGGGCCCATCCCGCAGATCTTTCCGGGCCCTCTGCTGACCATTTCCGCCTCTCCCCTTGACCAGAACACCGTTGTGAACGAGCTGGTGCACGTGACCAGCGAGGGGGCCGGCCTGCAACTGAGGAAGGCCACCGTCCTGGGGGTGGCCGTGGCCCCCAAGCAGGTCCTCTCCAATGGCGTTCCTGTCTCCAACTTCACCTACAGCCCTGACACGAAGGCAAGAGCCCCGCAGATGGGGCCAGAGGGCTTGTCCCCAAGGATGGCAGGGGCGGGGGGAGGTACCAAGGACCCTGGGGACCCGGTGCCGGCCGGCCGGGCCGTACGAGGGCAAAAGGACCTTGGTCCCCAGGGAAGGACAGGCCCCCTTGCAGCTTGGGCCTTTCCTCTGCCTGTGTCCACACCGATGGGGACTCATGGGCCATGCTGAAAGCAGACTCAGCCAGCGAGGAACAGAGCCAGAAGCCTCCAGGGGCTGGGGCAGACCCCGAGGGCGCCACCCGCCCGGGGCCCAGGCTCCTGTCTGCCAAGCACTCGGGCCTCACCTCTGTCAACAACGGTTTGGCGGTCACGTTTTCTTTTTTCTCTTTTTGCAGACCCTGGACATCCCTGTCTCACTGACGATGGGAGAACAGTTTGTCATCAGCTGGTCTTAACCAGGGGCCGGTGGTGCGTTGATCCTTTACAGGAAAAGACGGGACTTCGCAGCGACCCCAGCACCCGTGCTCTTAGTCAAGATGTGGGGGGCGGGGCTCAGGGTCGGAAGCAGTTGGCCCACGTCTCACGGCGGACGTCCCTCCAATGCCCAGATCTGCCTGTGTCTACCTCCCGGGCCCCAGGGCTCTGGGCCAGCAGCATGCCTGTTTGCCTTGTGTTTGCAATGCTCTCCTGGAAGGTTTACCTCCCCACAGCCTGTCACCGGAACGTGTATGACGTCATCCGCCGCCTGCCCAGGACGGCAGAAGTGTGCTCGGGGTGAGGACGCTGTCCCTGCACCCCGAGGTCACGCCAGATGAAAGGACAGAGCTGCGTGGCCACTGTGGACTGCCGTCTGGGCAACCGCGCCCCGGCAGCCAGTGAGGCTGCCTGCTGGCAGGAGGGCGGCCACGGGGGCCTCCAAAAGATTCGCAGGACCCAGGGAAACCCTCGCTCCAAAGTGCAATTGTGTTTAATAAAAGGGGCATTGCAATCAAGCTTCTGCTGGTCCTTCTGGGGTTCAGGGCGGGGAGGATGTGTCCCAGGGCTGCGCCACTCCATCCTTGAGGGCCCCCTGGCGCTCCCGGGTGGGGCAGGCAGGCTTCGCGGTCCGAAGGCAGCATCGTCCGCCCGGCCGGGCCTGGCATCGGAGGCACGTGGTGGGAGACGTGCCCCCACGCCCCACCCCAGACAACCGCTGGTCTGCTTGCGGTCGGCAGCTTGTTTCCCGGAAGTTTACGGAAGCGGAACCGTCCGGCACGTGTGCGTCGTCCCGCTAGTATCAGTCAGCAGGATCGCGGAGGCTCACCCACGTGGACCTCAGCGCCGTGTCCGGCTTCACTGTCAAGCACTTCCCATCACGTGGACGTGCCACGGTTGGTTTAGCGGGCCTCGGGGCCGTCTCCAATTTTTGGCTGTCACGAACAAGGCCGCGATGAGCCATCACGAGAAGTCTTTGAACGGACAGGTCTTCGTTTCTCTCGAGCACGTACCCGGGGTGACAAGGTCGGGTCATACGGGGGGAGGGGGGTGAGTAATGTTCTTGAAGCCGCCCAACTGCTCGCCAAGCACTTGCACCGTTCTGCATTCCCGCCAGCAGTGAGGTGGCTGCCCCGCATCCTCGCCCACCCCTGCGACGGGAGGTCTGCTCACTCTCGGCCGTCCTGGTTCGATGTGCGTGTCCCTGAAGACCAACGATGCCGAGCGTCTTTTCACGGACTTGGGTCTGTCACCCGTGAATCCTCTTTAGGGAGGCGTCTGTTCAAATCTTTTGCCTTTTTATTTGGAGCATTGGTCTTCTGTTACCGGAATATCCGTTTGTGTAGGTTTCCGTTGCCACGTAACAAATCACTACAGACTCAGTGGCTTAAAATAACACAGTGTGTTACAGTGCTGGTGGGCAGGGAGGGGACACGGCTCTCGCGGGGCTACAGCCGAGTGGCAGGCCGGCTGCTTCCTTCCCGGAGGCTCTGGGGGGGAGGGGGGAGAACCCGTTTCCTTCTCAGGCAGGTTGTTGGCCGACTCAGCTGCAGGGTTTTGCAGGCCTGAGGTCTGTCCCCTGCCAGCCGTGCGCCACACGCCCCTTCTAGGGGCTGCTTGTCGCGGCGGAGGCACTTTCAAGTCCAGCGAGGTCAAGGCGGGCTGACCTTTAAAAGCTCACGTGGGTCCACCTGGATAACCCGGGACAATCCGGTCTCAAACTTTTCGATTCCATCTGCAAAGTCCCTCCTGCTGTAACATGTGATGCGGTCACGGGCTCCAGGGAGCAGGCCCTGGGCGTCTCTGGGGGGGCCATTCTTCCACCTACCGCTGAAAAGCTCCCCGCATATTCTGGTGCTAAGTCGTCTGTCCGGCATGTGCGTTGAAACTCTTTCTCCCAGTCTGTGGTTTGCCTTTTTACTTTCCTAACAATGCTTAGTGAGGACTTAAAGGTTTTTAATTTTGAGGAGTCTGATTTATAATTATTTCTGTCCTATTAAAAAAATCTTGGCCATGGGGCGCCTGGGTGGCTCAGCTGGTTGAGCGTTCCACTTCCGCTCAGGTCATGATCTCACGGTTCGTGAGTTCGAGCCCCACGTCGGGCTCTGTGCTGATGGCTCGGAGCCTGGAGCCTGCTTTGGATTCTGTGTCTCCCTCTCTCTCTGCCCCTTTCCTGCTCATGCTCTGTCTCTGTGTCTCAAAAATGAATAAACATTAAAAAAAAATTAAAAAAAAAAAACAACCTTGGCCAAATCCAAGGCCACTAAGACTTGCCTCCTGCGCTTCCAGAAGCTTTGTGACTTTAGGTCTTCCGTCCCAAGCTACTTTTTGTTCGTGGTACGAAGTAATGATAAAGGGTTTTTCTTTTTTTGCATAGGGCTCGCCATCTGTTCGGGCATCATTTGCTGAAAGGATCATCCTCTACCCACCGCACTGCCTCAATACCTCTGCTGAAAACCCCCTCCCCATAAATCTGTGGTCTCTCTCTAGACCTTGTACCACATCCCAGGGATCTGGGGGTGTCTGTCTTTGTGCCAACACCTCACTGTTGTGCCGTAAGTTTGTAATGTTCCTGGGGATCAGGCAGGAAAAGTCCTCCAGTTTTGTTCAGTTTTTCAAAGCTGTTCCGGCCACGCTGGGTCCTTTGTATCTCCATGTGAGTTTTATTTTTTTGTTAAAAAATTTTTTAATATCGGGGCGCCTGGGTGGCTCAGTCAGTTAAGCCTCCGACTTCAGCTCAGATCATGATCTCACGGGTTGTGAGTTTGGGCCCCGCGTCAGGCTCTGTGCTGACAGCTCGGAGCCTGGAACCTGCTCCGGATTGGATTCTGTTGTCTCCCTCTCTCTCTGCCCCTCCCCCGCTTGTGCTCTGTCTCTGTCTCTCAAAAGTGAATAAATGTAAAAAGAAAAAAATTCGTTAAATGTTTATTTATATTTGAGAGACAGAGCGCAAGTTGGGGAGGGGCAGAAAGAGAGGAAGACACAGAATCCAAAGCAGACTCCAGGCTCCGAGCCGTCAGCACGGAGCCCGTCGCGGGGCTCGAACTCACGGACTGTGAGATCATGACCTGAGCCGAAGCCGGACGCTCGACCGACTGAGCCACCCAGGTGCCCCTCCGTATCAGCTTTGGAATCAGCTTGTCGATTTTTTGCCAAAGTCTCTTGGTACTTTGATCGGGGCTGTGCCAGATCCGTGGAACAACGTGGGAAGAACGGATACCTGAGCGATCCCGACCCCTCTAGTCCCGTTACGACGGCGCCTCTCGTTTATGGACATTTTTCACAGCAACACTTTGTGGCTTTCAGGGCACAGATGCCACAGGTGCCAAACGTATCCCCAGTATTTCACTATCTGGTGCTACTGTAAACGGTGCTTAAGTCTCCCTCTCCAAGTGCTCACTGCTGGCCTGCAGGAACGCAAGTGAGTTCTGGGCACCGACCTCGTACACGGCCGTTCTCAACCGCTGGCTCTAGCAGCCCCAGTGGCAGAGCCCTGAAACTTCCCACGTGAAGGAAAGTCCACGCAGACTTTTCTTCCTTTCCAAACGGATGCCTTTTACCCCTTTTCTTGCCTCACCATGCTGGCCAGAGCCGCGGTCTGCCGCTGGCCGTATGTGAGGAAAATCTGGTACCTTTATCCTCACTGGGTTCCCGAAAGCAGCTGGAACCGGACTCGCCTAGCCTTCCCGGCAGCTCTACGGGTTCTTGCCAGTGTGAGGCTCCTCTGGGTGCGAGGCCCCTGGGCTGTCCCGCCGGCGTTTGTGGCGAACCACCTTGCCAGGCATCGCGTACGACACGGCTCTCTCTGCCCCTGGTAAGTCTTCCCAAAACCTCTGCCCAAGGTTCACCGTGGCCGGAGGGCTCCCGTGCGGCACGTTTCCTTTATTTCTCCACTCTCCGCTTACTCGCGCCTTTTGTGGCTTCTTCGAAGCATGTGTAGCTGCGTCCTGTTTCGGGGCCCGGTCAAGCCGTCTTTTATAGCCCGGGGCTCTAGGCTACTCTCCCCTCGCCTGTGCCCCGTTTAATTCTCGGGAAGGGTGTGGTGGCCCCCCCACCTGATTTTTAACGGAGACGTAGCTCCGTAGGAGTCACCCCTTCGAAACGTGACCGCTCGGTGACGTCCACCACGCTTACAGAGGCGTGCGACCGTTACCACGGTCCGACTCCTCAACGTTTTCATCCCCCCAAAGCACGCGCTCCCCGGTCAGGAAAACCACCACCTGAGTTCTGTCTGATGCAGCCGTCTGGGACGTTTCACGGAAGTGGGATCGCACAGCATGTGGCCCTCGGCGAGCGGGTGTCGACACCACACCCCTCTGGATGGCCACGTAATACTCCTCACGCGCGGTGACTGCACTTGCCGGTCGGTGGAGGTTCAGGTCATTTCCACTTTTTAGCGAGCAACGGCTAAAACTGGCAGCTGAACGTCTGAATGTTCAATGTCGAATGCTGAACGGCTTTCAACATCCCGTCTGGCCGGGCACACCGGCCCCCTTGCTTCTCTCAACGTTCGGCTGCCAAGGGACACCGCTAAACCCACGTGGGCTGTGACACTCGTGCCCCGGCTGCCCCCCCAACGCCCCCCAACCCCCTCCCAGCAATGCAAGCACAGTGGCTCCTCCACACCCCTCCCAGCACTCCCCCCCCACCCCAGTCCACATTCTGGAAAGCTGCCTAAGGCAGAGCTACCCCCTCAGAGAGAGAGAACATTTTCGTTGCTCCCACTGGTCAGGGCCAGGCTGCTTTCCCACTGACAGCACACCACAGATGTTCCCACGCCCTCGCCACACTCAGGGTCGTCGTTAAATCTTTCCTGGCCGCACGTCATGCCCGAATCACCTGCGAGGTTGAATGTTTTCCTGTGTTTTGCTAGTTGTTCTCTTTCCTAGACGGCATCTGAGTTCGGCTTCTCACGCGTCTCTCCTTCTGGCTTGCTTCCGGCCGTCCCCTCCCTGAGCCACGGACGAGGCCCCGCGTGCTCCCCTCCCTCCTCCACCCACACCGCGCTTGTTAAGCCAGAAACACTACGGCTGCTGACAAATCCTTCCCTCCAGCTGCTCGCCCGGGGCTCCCGCTCCTGGTGCGCAAACCCAGGGCCAAGCTGGAGTCAAGGATCTACGGTCTCTTCTGCCGAACCCCCTCCCTCCCGACCGCGAGAACCCCCTCCCTCCCGACCGGGATCCGGCGCCCGGCACGGCGGCTGCTTCCTGGCTGCACGTGGCCGGGGCTGTGGTGTCGCGGTCTCCACTGCCGGCACATAAGCGCCCTGCACGCGCTGCATCGGACCCTGTGCGGCCCCGCTCCAGGACGGGAGCTCGTCGGGAAGTTCCTTCCACACGCCACACGACGGTGATGCCCGGGGTCGGAGTCGCCGGGCGAACTTTAGGAACGTCTCAAGCTCCCCACAACCGTGGACGTTCGACTGCTACCATCTCGACCCGCCTGGGGAGGTCTGCACAGGCGGGCTGTATCACCGCTTCCGTTCACCGACAGAGACAGAAAGCAGAGTGAAGCGACC